TGTTCATTTTTATAACTCTTCAGTGCAGAGATATGATAAATATGCAATAGATATTAGTAAAGAAATGTAAATATCATTACTATTACAGACTTTGTGGTTACTGAAATAATTCTGGGGTTGATAATTTTACCTAAGCATATTTAGTGAATTACTTATATTTCATAGTTTAAAAATTTTGAGAATGATATTTAAATTTATAGGCTGAATTTTGTACATGATGCAGAGTTTAAAGTTCATGAATGAGATAACATACCACCAAACTCATGAAGAAGATCAGTTGGAAGTAGCCAGGGATAAAGTGGGTGGGAGTGGAATTGATTGAATGCACTACCGGCAGAAGAATAGGATGTATAAAGATAAGATGCTATAGCTGCTCTTAGAAATATACATGCTTCTGTTTGGTTGGAATAGGGAATGTATTAATATATTTCAATGTTGGAGCATCATGAAAAATGTCACTAAAAGAGGCCAGATCATGAAGAGCCTTTTGTGATCTATTAGGAGATTGAATTACAAAGAAAAAAAACCATGGAAAAACATTGAAAATTTTAAGTATGTGAGTAATATGACCGAAATTGATGTTTAGAAAGATTGGTGTTTGAAAATGTATGGGAGGGGAGTCTGTCATACTTAGGCATTTGATGTGTGAATCCACGAGAATCTGGTAGAGGTTCTCAAGAATTTGTTTAATTATAGAATAGGGGTAAACACTCACCCAAGCTTGAGCAAGAGAGCAAGAGACCCTTTCCTCTCAGCTTATCAGTTGTCATGTAGCAGACAAGGCCACACCCTAGAGCTTGCTGCTCCAAAAGTCATTGGCTAAACGGATAAAAATCCCACAACAAGTACTGAATTGGGAACAAGGGAGTAGGATGGAGGATTAGTAAGGAAAAATATATCACATGGCTTCATTGTTCCAGGTTTGGGCATCTGTGTGCGTATGCTGCTCCCTAAGACGGAAAATACTGGGGCCAAAGTAGATAATAGAATACAAGCATTCTGAATTTGAGATTCATATGTTAGATGTACCTTGGGGAGATAGATACCTGTGTTGATCAGCAAAGACATCTAGGCTAGAGACAGAAATTTATAGTGATCATTATTGGCTTTTCACTTAAATGTGTCAAGCACTAAGGCAAATACTTTATATGTGCCATGCCATTTATTCCTCATGAATTGTTACTTTTCCTAGTTTATAAATTAGGTAGTAAGATCTAAGAGTTCAGGTAGTTATAGAGTTACTTGTTGACTCTTAAGGCCATGTTGAAGCCATGCTGATACTAATACAGTCACCTATAGAGACCAAACAGGATGAGACAAGTGGAGAGCAATAGGTGACTGAAGCCTGCGATAAGAGTAGACCAAAGATGTGGACTGTTGGCGAATTGGTCATTTGGGAGACAAATAGAGGAAGAAATCCTCCAAATACAACTAAAAAGAACATCAAGGGCAATGTCCACTAGCTCATTTATCATATAAAAATAGTTCTTTCAAATAGAGAGGTTTTATTTTTCAAGACATTTGAGAAATCCCTATAGAATCTCATCTTGTAGAGAGAGTCACAATGTATATTAGTATATAAAAGATCTGAGTCCCAGTACCACATGGCAACTCACAATCACCCATAACTACAGCCCCTTCTTCCAACCTCAGTGAGCACGAGGCATGCATGCACAGACTTCGCAAGCAATATCTTTTTTAAATTGGGGGCTAGAGAGATGGCTCAGAGGTAAAGAGTTATTGCAATTCTTTTAGAAGATTTATGTTTGAGTCCCAGTACCCACATCAAGCAGCTCACAAATGTCTGTAACTCTTGTTCCAGGAAATCTAAGGCTATTTGTCCTTGGGGCACCTGCATTCATGTTGTATACATAAACTATGGCAAACACACATACATGCACACAATAACAAATAAATCTTTTTTTAAAGAGCTGATAAATCTGTAGTAATTAACTCATTCAACTAAACTTTTTTGATCATAAATGCACATGTGGGGCAGGGGTGGGGTAGGGCAAGGGGACTCTTGACTTCCTGTGTAGCCCAGGCTAACCTCAAATTCAAAATCTTTCTACTTTATTCTACTTAGTACTGGTATTAACAATGTGTGCTCCATACATGACATGAATGCTTTCTTACTCCTTTCTGCTACTATAACAAAAGTCCACAGACAGGATCATTTATATATAACAGACATTTATTTCTTAAAGATTTGGAATGAGAAGTCCAACTGAAGGTCCCCATAGATTTGGTGTAGAAGTGACAGACAAAGACTGTGTTCTCATAGTGGATGGACAAAAGGGATAAAGAATTCCAAGCATCTCTTTTTATAAAACCATTACTTCTATTTGTGAAGGTTTTATTCTTATAACTTAAGCACTTCTTAATACTTCACATCTTAATACAGTTCAGTGGTGATTAAGTTTCAGCATATAGATTTTGGGGATACCCTTTCAGACCATAGGAACCCTCACCCTTTTTTCATTTGAATTCTGCTTACATTCCAGATAATGGCTCTAAACAAAGGAAGAAAGTGATCACTGGAGAGTTCAAGGGAAGTAGAGGTAGAGGGCAAGTGACATAGGCAGTTAGGACACTATAACATAGATGGCTACAGTTGCAGGATTAGAAGAGGAGTTAACGCTGAAGACAGAGCAAGGACCCCCTTTTTTAAAAGAAAGGAAATGAAAGTAGTTAGAGGAGAATTTAGGGTAAGAGAAGGATTCTTCTGCTTTATTTAAAAGAATCTTGATAATAATTTTTTTTTGCTGAGGGGGAGAGTTCACTAGGAAAGAAAAACATCAAGATGTATTGAGGAATAAAGGGTAATTTCACAGACATGGTTTCGGAGTTACTGTAGAAATTTTCAGAATTTTTTTAACTACTTAATCTCATTTAAAAACACTGTGTTCATCCAAATCTCATCAGATTTTGAAGGTAGGTTTTGTTAGAATCTAGGAAATTAGTAACATAGACAGAACATAAGTCTTTGAATTATGTCTATTTTAGTGTCTTTTTTTTCTATGCATGGCAAGGTCAGATGTGATCTCTAGATACACTTTATTTCATTATTTTTGCATATGATAGTTGTAAAAACAGCCTGTTTTGTAAGATTATCTCAGTTTTTAACAAAGATAAGGAAGGAAATGTCTTCCTACCAGTAAATTACATAGATGAAAAACTAAGGTGAGTAAATATTTAGTAATAACATCCACTTGAAGAAGATAATTTAAGAGTGGATAGGACAGTTGTTGCTTTTGTGGGAGGGAGAGTCAGTTTTCTTTAATGGTGTGGGCTCTGGTAGGTTGACCTTGTTTCAGTGAATGACCTCACACCAGGAGTATGGGGGTGGCACAAACTGGACTTGATGTGTTTGTTATTAAAGAGAGTGATAGAGAGAGATATCATAAGTGGGGGGGTAGGCAGGTGGGGTTAGATACAGAGGAGAACTTAAGAGAAGAGTGGGGATGACTATGCTCAAAATATATGAAATTCTCAAAGAATTATTATTTTTAGATTTTATATTATTATTTTTATGTCTATGGGATTTTTTTTGCTGGCTTGTATGTCTGTGCACCACATACGTATCCATGGAGGCCAGAAGATGGTGTTGTATCCTCATGAACTGGAGTTACAGATGGTTGTAAGCCATCTTATGGGTACTGAGAATTGAACCTAGGTCCTCTAGAAGAGCAGTCAAGTGCTCTTAACCACTGAACCATCTCTACAGCCCCAATAAAAATATTTTTAAAAAATCAACCTACAGAAAAAAATAATAAAAGTAGGTCTAAAAATTAATTGGCTTTGTTCTCTTTCTTATAATGACCAAAATGTTCCTCAAAGACAAATAAGAACAGCATCATTTATTGAACATACAGCACTCTATGCCAGGCACTATCCTGAGCTCTTGGTATGTATGTCCTGAGTCAGTTCTCAGAACAGCCCTGTAAAGAAAGGTATTACTACATCCCATTTTACAGATAGACATATGAAGGTACAGGTAAGGGATACAATAGGATGCAAGTCCAAACAAATAGACTTTAGAGTCCTTTTCCTTGGGAGCACTGGCCAGAGAATAGCCTGCCTTAACTTTCTAGTCTTAGACTTTAATCCTGACTTCCACATCATTTTTAGTGGGAGGAGAAATTAGGAAATAACATTTGGGTTTTGGTTTTATTGCTGAGACTCAAGCTTATGGTGTAGTGATCCTTATTGAACAATTCTACAGTGTAAATATCCAAGTGACACAAAACATCTATTCATACTTCTCTCTGTGGCTTCAAGATACTAGGGACAGAGGCACCCCCCAATACCCGGAATTTGGGAATTTGGCCTTCATAAGGGCAGTTGTTCCCCCGTAACTGTGTTGTGTTGTAGACCTAGATAAGAGAAAAAGATTCATCATGAACCAGAGTAGACACAGGTCTCACTGTGTAACTACTCACAATAGATCCTTCTGCCTCTGCCTCCTGAGTGCTGGGATTAAAGATGTGTGCCACTATGCCTGGATGGAATCAACTACATGGGTCTTTAGAGTTCATTAAACACACAGACCAGCACCATATTTCTGTCCACATGGATACTAGGTTCTGAGCTGTATGTGCTTTGTCCACTGAATCACTTCCCCAGCCTGTTGTTATTTTTTAATTTTATATGTATGAGTATTTTGCCTGCTTGTGTATATGGGCACCACATGCATGTGGGCTCAGAAGAATGTGTCAGAATCCCTGAGAACTGGAGTTATAAATGGTTGTGAGTCTCCATGTGGATGCTAGAAACGGAAAACTGGCCCTTTGTAAGAGCAAACAAGTGCTCTTAAACACTGAGCCATAGCAGGGTGGTGGTGGCGCACACCTTTAATCCCAGCACTGGGGAGACAGAGACAGGTGGATCTCTGTGAGTTCCAGTCCAGCGTGGGCTACAGAGTGAGTTTCAGGACAGGCTCCAAAGCAATACAGAGAAACCCTGTTTTGAAAAAACAAAACCAAAACAAACAAACAAAACCCCAACAATATGTAAACCACTGAGCAATCTTGCCTGATTCTCATAATTTCTTAATGAAAATTTCATACACAGACTTAGCTGATTAAATCATTCACTGGCTGTTGATGATTAACTCAATCTCCAGCCCTCTTCCATTCTCCATATTTGAGATGGGCCTGAAATTTTCAAGCTCCTAATCAAGGCTTGGTCTGGTGAGCAGCTCCCATCTTACAGCTATCCAGGGCCCAGCCAAGAGTTACTTCATTAGAACAAAGGATGCTCTTATGGCTCAGGAAATTCCAACAGTTTTAATAGTTCTGTGCCAGGAACTAGGGAAAAGGATCAAATATATTGTATATGATACCACGGCAAGAAAGCCTAGTTTGGAATTAATAGGAGTTGAAAATTAGTGCTTTACTGGTGGAGCTTGAGAAAGTTCTTAAAGACTAAGAGTTGGTGAAGTGAAGGAAGTCGAAGAACAGCAGAAGCACAGAAACCAAAGACACTGAGATCAATGCAGGTAATCGAATGATAACAAAGTACTTGATGGGAGAGAGGGGAAAATACTACATTTGGAGTTAAGTAGGGAAGAGCCTAGCCCTGCAGGGCCCTTTATTTCTTGGTTAAGAAACATAAACCTTAACTTGCATCTTAAGCTTCAGATGGCACCAGAATCATTTAGGAAATATATATAATGCAGTTGGCCAAAAATGTGCTTTTTTTTTTGGTTTTTTATGAGACAGGGTTTCTCTGTAATGTTTTGGAGGCTGTCGGACCAGCCCGGCCTCGAACTCACAGAGATCCCCCTGCCTCTGCCTCCCGAGTGCTGGGATTAAAGGCGTGCGCCACCACCGCCCAGCAAATGTGCATTTTTATAAGCATCTTCAAGTGACTCTGATTTAGGAAGCGTAGCTTTTGGTAATGGGGGACTAAAAACTTCTATATAGAGAGATAAGGTCAGAATTATGGTTTAGAGTGAATGATTGCAATTGCCACCTGGTATAAATAACAGAGACCCAAGGAGAGGTACTTAGATTGAGATTGAGTACAATAAACGGACTCAAGAACTATATAAAAAGTAAAATGATAAAGGCTTCATGAGAGATTATTAGAAGGAGGCAGAGGGAAAAGACTGATTAACTCTAGACTTGGAGCTTGATTGGGTTGGGTAGATGTTGAGTGCTGTTAGCAAAGATGCAACAAATTCAGCTTCAATGGGGGGATGAGTTAGTTCAACTACAGACATGGCGAGAATAAATAAGCAGGTGTGTATAATATCTGTGGGATAGCAGAACATCCAGAGGACTGCAGGTGAAATTTTAGAAGTAATCAATCCATAGGCTCATGAAGAAACTAAGAACAATTAAAATATTGATTATATTTCTAAGGAGATAGACATCAGTGATAGAACATGGAGAACCCATGTCTTAAGAGGTAAAAGTACAAAAAGACTGTATAACAAAACCAAAACAGAAAAACAGTGAAGCAATTGTATAAGACTGATAGAGAATAGTAAACCAGAAGTGTTAGTGAATGGTCTATCTAATGTAGTTAAGAAACCCTGTAAGATCAAGTGTTGTGACCTGGGATTATGGAGGCTCCCACTGACTTTTGGCTAGAGTAGTTTCCAGTGGAGAGGTAAGGCAGAAGCTTGGTTACAGTACGTTAATGAAACTGGCCAAGTTGGAACACTGAGTATAGAATGAATATTCCTTTCCAGAAGTGTTCCTGTGAATTGAAAAATAATTGTATGTAGATGGAAGAATGCAAGATCAATCATTTATCTTTTAAAGTGTGCAATAGATTAGAAAATATGTATATGCTAAGGGAAATAAGCCAAGGTGATAGGGTGGGGGACAGACAGAAGAGAAAAGGGAGAAGGGATAGCTAATGCGACCAGGCCCCATGGGAAGGAGTGGTCAAGAAAATGGAAGAAGGAGTTAGCCTGAAATTGGAGGAGTTAGCTTGGGGCAGTAAAGAATTCATGCATCCTTTGTGGTTATTATGCATTTCCTGTAATAGTTGATTCCTAGTGTACAGGATGGCATTTGCTTTTATTCCCAGGAGAGCCTAAATTTTATAATACATATAAAGTTCTGTGTGGGAATAGAATACTATCTTGATTGTATAATGAGGGGGAAAAATCTTAAGGCTAGTATATTAGCTAGAGCTCTTTAGAAGAAGAGAACTGGTGTGTGTGTGTGTGTGTGTGTGTGTGTGTGTGTGTGTGTGTGTGTGAGCATGTGTGTATATTTAAAGGGGATTTATTAGAGTAGCTCACAAACTGGGATCTGGCTAGTCCAACAGCTATTCAATGGCTTTCTCCCCACAAAAAGGCCAGAAACCCAGTAGTTCAGCTCATGAGGTCAGGTTCCTCAGCTTGTCTTCAGTCTACATGAGACTCCACAAGAGGTAAGTTCTAATATTGTCGAAAGAATTCCTCAGCCTAAGTAGAGATTAGTTTGACAGAGAGAGTGAAGGTGGCAGGCAAAAAGCAATGCTTCCTTCTTCTGTGTCATTTTATGTGGATGATCACTAGAAGGTGTGACCCAGATTTAGGGTGAGGCTTTTCACTTTAAAGAATGTGATCATAGGCATCCTGAGCCGCTTGGGTTTTGTTGATTCCAGATGTAGTCAATTTAAAACCAAGATTAGCCATCAACCTACCCACAAGTCTGCCATGATTTGTTTCATTTGATGGCTATGAAAGAAAGAAATATATGTCAGATTGGTCTATTAGAAAAAAACTGAATTTTGTTTGTTTGTTTGTTTTTTGGTTACCAAATAGCTTTCAAGAAAAGTTGTATTACATTTACATTAGTAATAGCAGTTGTAACACTCCAAACATCACTTTCCCAATATTTAAAATTATATTCTCATTTTAGGGAAAATTAACATTGTGTGGTTATTCTGTGACAGGCAAGGTTGGTAGCTATTTATGTACAAGGCCCGTATCCCTCTGAGGCCTCTAGCCATTGAGTTCTGAAACAAAACTTCTTCTATATTCTGCAAAAACAGTCTGTTTCTTGAGGTAGATGTTTAATTTTTTTCTTTGAAACCTTTAAAAGTTTGGTTTCACTTTATAGTTTTTAAGAAAATTTATGAGTTCCATTGTTATCTTTCACATGTACTCACAATTACTACATAGTTAATAAAATATTAGGGAAAAATGGGTACTTCAAATGGTATGAGGATTTTATTTTTCTTTTTTATTTATTTTATTTGGTGATGTATTGTTTATGATTCAATAAGCTTGCCTGAAGATAAGAAAAGCAAAGCAGTAGCCACTAGCTCTTACCTCTACCTCAGACTGGGATGATCCTGGCTCCACAAAACCTCGGTGTGATTAGAGACTAATTGCCTGTCCTCAATGTGGCTGGAGACTAATTGCCACATGAGACCCTTTGCTTCTTCTTTATATACCTCTCTAGTGCTGGGATTAAAGGCAGGAGGTCTTTTAGACTGTTTTACTCTTGTGTAGCCTGGGGTGGTCTTGGACTCTCAGAGATCCATCTGCCTCTGTCTCCTGAGTCCTGAGATTAAAGGTGTGTGCCATCACTGCCCAGCTTTTATAGCTAACTCGTCTGGCTGGCTTTGCATTCTGATCCCCATATAAACTTTATTAAATCATAAATAATAGGCAACTGGTTGATAAGTAAGCTACTCTTACTGAAATTTGGGAAATCTTGAATACTTCACATATGTGTAGATATTGGCAGTTATGATGGTTAGTTTTGGGGTTTTTAATTTTGCTTTGGCTTGGTTTTTGGTTTTTCGGGACAGAGTTTCTCTGTGTAGCCCTGGCTCTCCCGGAATTTGCTTTGTAGACCAGGTTGGCCTCAATCAAACTCAAAGAGATCCACCTACCTCTGCCTCCCCAGTGCTGGGATTAAAGGCCACCACTGGCTGGCTATGGTGGTTAATTTTAATTGTCAGTGTCACAGCTTAAAATCATCTAGAAGTTAGACCTCCTGGCCATATCCGTAGGAGATTTTCTTGATTACATTAACTGAAGTGAGAAGACCCACCCACTGTGGCATTTTTTCTGATGCAGAGTAGAGAAGATGAGCTGAGCACTGGCCTTCACTTGTTAATCCATTGCCCTCTGCTCTTGACTGAGGATGTAATGTGACTATCTGCTTCAAGTTCTCACTACCTTGACTTCTTTACAGTGACAGATGGTAATCTAGAATTGTGAACCAAATAACCCCATTTCCCTTGAAGTTCTTTTGTTGGAGTATATTTATCACAACAACAGGAAATAAAATTAAAACAGCAGTGTATCAAATTCTTGTTTATTGTTTTACTTCTTTAAAAAGTAATCATGTAGCCCTTTGTTCTTTTTATATCCATTTGTTTAATGGGCTACAAGTTTCTATTTGAAGATATTAATCAATAAATAATGGTCACAGGGTTACTACTTTGTACCTTTTCAATTGTGTTAACTTGTGAATTATGTTATTCAGAACTTAGCCCCCTCATTTCCAGGTGGTATCAATATTGTTATGAAAATAAGCAACTGGCCGGGCGTTGGTGGCGCACGCCTTTAATCCCAGCACTCGGGAGGCAGAGGCAGGTGGATCTCTGTGAGTTCGAGACCAGCCTGGACTACCAAGCGAGTTCCAGGACAGCCTCCAAAGCCACAGAGAAACCCTGTCTCGAAAAACCAAAAAAAAAAAAAAAAAAAAAGAAAATAAGCAACTGAACTATAAATTATTTGCTATGGGATATGCTGCTTCATTCTTTGAGCTCAAAGCTTAATAAAAGTACCTTTGAATTGAGGGTGAATCCTGGGATCTGGCCCTAGCACTGACACTAGTTGACTTTGTGACACTGAGCAAATCACTGTTTTTAATAAATGGCCAACATAAATAATATATCTAACTGCTACTCAGATATATGATAATATTTTTAGGGGGAAGGAAAAATCTTAGCATTTTGGACAGTAGGTAAGTAATTTTCTCTATTTAAATGTATAAATTTAATACCTGGGCTGGAGAGATGGCTCAAGATGTTAAGAGCATGTACTGTTTTTTGTAGAGGACCCAAGTTTAGACAGCTCACAACTGTCTGTAACTCCAACTCCAGGGTCTCCAGTGCCTCTGGCTTCTATAAACACTTGTATTTATATACACATACCCTTACCCATACAAATAATTAGTTAAAAAATAAATTCAGTACCTGCTATTAGGGAAGGCAGTACAATATAAACAAGTCATAATTTGTTGGCCAAATTTGTTGGTCAGATAGCATGAATATATGGATTAGACCTACATAAGATCTGAGGAATGATTGGTACCTGTTGTAAATCAACCTCTGTGCATCTGTTACTTAAACATTTCAGAATTATAGCAAACATATTTTGACAGCTATATAGAACAGTATCTACAGGCAGGATTCTTCCTAGGAGCTTCTGATAACTTGTAACCTCTGATTTAAAGAAAAGAACATTGGACCAAAAATGGAAGTCCCAAGTCTGCCATTAGCTAGGAAGGCAATTTCAAGAAGCCATTCTCTCCC